TCTATCTATCTATCTATCTATCTATCTATCTATCTATCTATCTATCTGGTACATGCACGTGTGGAAGAAACCTTTTGGGAATCTCTTCTTTCCTTGCACCATATGGGCCTCAGGAATTGAATTCAAGTCATCAGGCTTGGTGGCAACTGACTTTACCCATAAAGCCATGTTGCTGGCTCAGGTCTGGCTTTTTATACAAGTGCTGGGGACCAAACAAAGGTTTTTGTGCTTGTGCAGCAAGCAGTTTACTGATGACCCCTCTCCCCAACTGCTTTATTTCTCGAGTCGAAAGAGAAACAAAACCAACTATACAGTTCATCTAAATTACTGAATTTGCTGGTATAAAGTAGCTTATGATACCGCCTGCCCCCCAATCCCACACTTTCAGCATCTGTGAGACCTGTGGTAATGTCAAGTCTGTTAGGAACTATGTTGTCTCTATTGGTCTCTGTCTCAGGGAGCATGCGGCAACAAACAGGGTGTTGATATTTAGCTGAGTGATACTTAGTTGAGTGTAATCACAAGTGCTGGGATTTCAGGCCTTTGCCACCCTGCTCTGACTTCTCTATGCCAGACAGCAAGAGCTTTATTGAGCCTTGGGTTCAGTCACTACCTGAACTCCTCACATCTGAGGTTTAACAATGGGTTTGTCATTTCCTCTTCCTGGAAGGAGCCTTCATTAGCTGAGCACTCCTGCTCCATCCATGCTGCTGTCTGACGACCTCAGGTTCAATCCTCAACCAGACACACAGGAGAGAGGAAAATAGAGGGAAGATACATTTTTTTTTTTTGCTATCCCTTCCCCCAGATTATTAAGACAGAGTTCATCTCTGTACCCTCAGTTCTTTGTGTGCTGGGTGGCTCATGGATAAAGGAAAAGGGTTACAGATCTTCAGTGTACTCAAAGAGCAGATCTGGTGAGGATGGCTTTGCTGAGGGTTTTGTATATTGGGGAACTGGCAAGGTGTTGTCAGAGAGGGAGGTGACCCTTCAACCTGATTTTAGATGTCTCATGGTGCAGGGTACCAAACAGTTAAAGAGAGCAAGCATCCCTGAGAGTGGCAAAACAGTCATGGCCTGTAGAGCAGACCCCCATGGCTGGCCCTGCTGGGACCTAAGGAGATCAGGAGGGGTGACAAGGTCTCTGATGACACTGGTAGGGAGAGGACACCAGCATCAGGTGAGCGCTCCACTCCCAGCCTGGACTTGCCCCAACCAGCTGCTACTTGAGGGTGTGAGTTGAAAGGGTGGTGAAGGTTAAAATGAGAGCTGGGACCTGTGCTCAGGGCCAAGTGCACCCAAGATGAAGGATCTGAACTGAGTAGTCAAGAACAAGGGCATCCTAAGATGTCCTAAGTACCCAGCTTTTCTAAGCCTGGGGTTCTGACTTCCCAGAGGGAGTGAGGGAGACAGGTAAGGCTGGGAAGGAGTTGTGCCAGCTGCTGATGGAATGTCTCATCACCCTTACCCTATTCCCAAAGCAGCTGAGACCCGCAAGAGCTCACAGTGCAGACCACTTCTCAATGTACAGACAGATATGCTTCATCAGCCCAGTATATTTTCATGGGAACCAGCCCTCTGTGTATCAATCAAGAAAAACAAGGCCTTGGGCTAGCAACATGACTTAGTGGGTAAAGGTGCTTCTGGACAAGCCTGATGTTCTCAGTTTGATCCTTGGTGGAAGGAGAGAACAAGCTCCTGCAAGTTGTCCTCTGACCTCCACACACATGTGGTGGCATAACCACACCAACCAACCCCTCACCCTATTCCATAATAAATAAGTACATAAATAGAAATTTAAGGACATTAGAAAACAAGGCCTCAAAATCCTTCCCCTCCCCATGAAAGCAAACACCCCACACTATAGTCCCTTGAGAGGAGAGCTTGGGCCTCTGAAGTTCTAATTCAGGTCAGGGTAAGGAAACAGAGGCAGATGGTCATGCAGTGCCCAAGGCAGGGGCAGGAAGAGGCTGATAATGCCAGGCAAACCTGGTAGGTCCCACAGCAGCACCCTGTTGCCTGTCCCTAGAGCCAGAGCCACCTCATAATGGGGTGGAGGGACTTCCTGTTGGGTGTGGTGGCCCTGGGAGCTCTGTTATAAAGGTATTTAGCGGGGTAGGGCAGCTCTGGAGTCTGACTCACCCTGAAGATGGAACGATAAGCCCTGGACTGAAAACCACGGAGCTCGGGACCAGAAACCATAGGCTCTTTAGTGCTCAGAGACTGGCAGGAGAGAACAGGATGCACAGCAGGGTAACAACAGAGGCTCTAACTTTTCTGGGCGGACTGATTCTATTGGGCTTCTTTTGGGGTTCCCAAAGGCAACCTGCTGCTGGGAGGTGCTGTCTGAGGGTCTCCTCGGGAAGACACTTGTCTCACCAGTCTGTACCCATGGACCTGGAGCCTGCGACGGGTGGAGCATGTGCGCTGCAGGTCACAGCCCAGTGGAAATCAGGCTGTTTCTCACTGACTGTGTGGCTTTGTGGCTTGGTTTCCTCATCTATGGAAACAAGGGCAATCATGGTGACATCATCATACTATTACAAGAAGGAAATGACGAGGGAGAAAGGAAAAAACCTGCAGTTTGGGTGGGCGGGTAGTGGCTCCCGAAGGCAGGGAGGAGAGAACTGTAGAAAGAGCACAGGGCTACAGATCCCGAAAGCTTGCATCTACAGAAGTCACAGTGGGCTTCTATTCCCATGCGTCTTCTGTGATGCTCTCAGCAAACCTCTGAGCAGAGAGGATATAATACCTGCTTCATCCAGGCCACAAGAAGATATGTTAGATGATGCCTTGGAGGGGCTGGAGAGATGGCTCAGCAGTTAAGAGCACTGGCTGTTCTTCTAGAGAACTTAGGTTCAATTCCCAGCACCCAAAACTATAGTCAAAACTATAACTCCAGAGGATCAGGAACCCTCTTCTGGCCTCCATATGGGCACCAGACATGGGCATGGGTCTTCTGGCCCCCTCACTCAGAGCTCAGAGAGTGTGGCATGGCAGGCTGGGGATAATCAGGCCAGAGATGGGTCACACACAGCAGAGACCATAGCTACCTTGTGGGTACAGCAAGTCTCTAGTGGCTTGTGAAGAGAAAGAACAAAGTGGCCTGGCTAGCAGCTGGGAGAGCAGCAAGAAAGCCAAGATAAGGCCCAGGATAAGAGCTGGAACTAGGTCGGGAGTCAGGTAGGACAGGCTGCGGAGAGACTGGAGGAGGCAGCGAGGCTGAGATTCTGCTAATGACTCACTGGGAATATGAAGGTGCCTTGGACAAAGGAGGTGGCAGTGCTAAGGGGACAAAGAAAAAGGGTGGGGCCACTTTCAGGCAGACTGTGCAGCAGCTGAGGATGGTTCATGCTTGCTCAGATGTCCTCAGCAGTAGGAAAGAGGGCCCTGGTCACAGAAGAAAGGCAAGACTAGCCCCACTGTCCACTGAGATCAGGGTAGCAACATGCAGGGCCAATGCAGTTCCTACCGGCATAGCATGGCCTTGGGCCTGGGACCATCAATATCCTATACTTGCTGGAGAAACACAGGGAGCTGGCCTCAGGCCAAGTCAGCTCTTGTTCTTGCCAAAGTGCAACTGAGCATCCTGCCGCAGTGCAAAGGAGGTAACAGGTAACTCCTCCAGCATATTTTCTTTATTAGTCCACAAATATTGACCAGACCCCTGGTGCTAGGAACTGCACTGCAAGCTGGGAGCCAAGGAGTAAAAGGAAAGTACGCACCAAGAATTCAGTGCAATGGGATTCTTGACTGGGGTACCTGACTGGACTCCAAGGCCAACGACCACACATATACACAGGTCAGGTTTTAGAAGGTACAGCTTTTTGGAAAAAATCCAGAACTCTTTGGATTCTCAGAGGAAGGGGGGAACTTGGACCCAGAAAGGGAACGGATGGCACCAACAGCATCTAAAGAGGGTAGTGGCTCCCAGGGTGGCTGGGGATGGTCTCCAAAGTACACCTCACCTGTCTTGCCCATTAAAGGATGAATGGGAGAGGGCAGAGAAGGGCAGAACAGGGAACAACTGATACAGATGAGTGAACACAGGTCCCTCCCAGTGCCCAGGGCTTCAACCTCACCAGCAACAGCAGGAAGTAACTGACTGGAAGGTTAGGCAGAGGGCACAGCAAAAACCACAGTCCCCCTTCCCTTTACAGAGAGCCAGACTAGACCGGTTCATCTGGGCAGCCCAGTACTTTGAAAGGCTCCAAACTCCCACCTGGGTTCTCCCTATAGGAAGCCCTGAGGTATACAGGAAGCCCACACCACGGGCTTAGACTGGGCAGAGGGCAGGCAAATCCTGTTATCCATCCACACCCATGGTGAGGCTACAAGCAAAGTGCAGGACCTCTTTGAGACAAGTGGCCCTGGTGGTACTTCAGTAGGGAACCTGGGTAAAATGTCAATGCAGCTCTTCTGCTCCATGAGACCTACTGTAGGAATGCTTGCTTTGTTTACTGGCATCCAGGCAAGGTCCAAATCCTGATGTCCAACAGTGGTGCTCATACCTGACTCTGTGGCACTCTTCCTAGAGAACCAGCTGTTCCCTCATTCCCACCCAGCCAACACTGCAACTCAAAGAAACCCAAGAAAACTAACAGCCAGCTGAACTACTGGAACCACACAGACTTAAGTATTTATGACCTGATCCTAGAAATGGAAACTCACCTACACTTGTCATGGCTTAAACAATATACTCTTTTGTTTGTCTCGGGGCATACATGCGAGTGTGTGTGTGTGTGTGTGTGTGTGTGTGTGTGTGATAGTTACATATGCCAACAACAGCAGAACCAACACTAAGAGAATGAACCACTGGGGAAGGACCGGGACAGTGCTGACGGGGCTTCCACCACTGCCTCTGCATTAGTCTCACTGCATAGATGGGGAGCTGAGGCTTGGAGATGCCTCCCACCTATCCCACTGTGCAGAGCACAAAGCAAGGGGCTGTGCTTCTAGGTGTCTGTCTGCACATTAGGTCTTTCTGCCATACACATCTGCCCCTCACCCAAAGGCTCTCCTTCTCTCATGCAAAACTAACCTTTCCTGCCTCTAAAAAAAACTATCATTATGTATATGTGCTTGTGAGCTGTGTGTGTAAAGTCCAGATGACAACCTTGAGTGCTTTCCTCACGAATGCTGTCTGTCTCTCATTGACCTGGGACTCACACCAACTAAGCTAGACTACTAACCAATGAGTCCCAAGATCCTCCCTTTTCTGCTTCTTTGATGCCATGATTCAAAGATGTGCCACCACAATGGCTTTTTTTGTGGGGTGGGGGCAGCTGAGATAGCTTTCTCTGTGTAGCCCTGGCTATCCTAGAACTTGCTCTGTAGACCAGGCTGGCCTTGAATTCAGAGATCCACCTGCTGAGTGCTGGGGTTAAAAGTTTATGCCACCATTACCTGGCTTCAATTTTTTTTTTTTTAAAGCATGCTGACTTTTTATATGGTTTTGGGGATAAAACTTTGTTCCCTATGCTTGTATGGCAAGCACTATACTGACCGATTTGCCCAACCTTGAGGCATGTATCCCATGATGGTCTAGAGTGCTAGGGTTGCAGGCCTGCACCACCACACCTGGTTTTAAGCCTTGACTGGAGAGTGAACCTAGGGCTTTTGAAAGCTAGGCAAACACTCTACTAACCGAGCCCCGTCCTGGCTCAATCTTGCTTATTTCTAGAGAGAGCAGGAGACATAAAACCCAAGTAGGTTCAAAAATACCAGAAGGCATCACACTAGGTCCTAGTGATTAGGAGGTGAACACTACTGAGAGCTGGATGCAAGCATTCATTCCGTCCTGTCTTCCTCCGATGAGTGATAACAGTACGGAGGAAACTTAAGCCACTGAATAATACTGATATTATTAATGTAACCAATTCTAGCCAATTAACCACTGTAAACACTTCATAAGGTCAGCATTCCTCTCTGTTTTCGCAGATGAACAAATCAGAGACACAGTGTAATTAAGTAACTCATCCAAAGTCACATAGCCTGGAATTGCCAGGACCCCAATGGGAGGGTAGCCTTCAAGCCTTGGCTGCTCCCCTCTGAACACCTACTCCTTGTTCTGGCTCAATTTCTGCCCTGATGTGGCACACAGAGCTTGTCTATTAGAGCCTTAGTTTCTCTCTCTCTCTTTATACATATATGTGTGTACGTATGTACAGATGGATCAATAGACAAAGATATCCCCGACTGACTAGAACTCTCAATGTAGACCAAGGTGGCCTCAACTCACAGAACCCACCAGGCCTAGCCTCCCTATCAGACTCTAAAGCACTCTCAGGACATATCACAGGGTTGAAAGCTCTTCTGATGCCATTCCAGAGAGATATAAGCCAACCACCAAAAGGCAAGACTACTTCTGAACCGGAAACTCCAATTCTGAAAACCACAAGTAGCTACAACAATTCATGTAGGTGTTCAGAACAGTGCTTCTCACAGCGGAAAATTGGAACTCTGACATCATTCAGTCTGCTGGGCACAGTCCAGAGAGCCAGTTGCTCAGTGAAACAGACATAAGAATGTGAGCACACAGCTGAGTCCCACACTACAGAGCCAAGGTTGCTACTATGGCAACCATGCTTACAAATGGCTACAGATTGGAGCTGCCCAACACTGTAACTGTGTGTAACATTTTTCCATTTTAATTCTGCTGTCAAAACAGTTTACCAACAAACAAAAGCAATCAGGAAATTCAGCTGCAAGGGGTTATCTTGACCATACTAACCCTAAATTGCTTCCTGACCATGGCTGGTACACAGACCCCCAAAAAGCCTAGTCAGTGTCTTAGGACCTTTTACAAGTTCAATAGCACCCCACCCCCAGCATCGCTGAGGCACAAAGAGAGGACTGGCAGAGGCCTGCATAGACCCTTAGGAACCTAGACTATACACAGCAGCAGATTCAGCAGTCATATTGCAGACCTGGTCTCTTTAATTAGCATGAACACCTCCATTATACAGGGCTAAAATTTTCAGCTAAGACACTGATGCTAAACAAAGAGGTCATTTCTCCCACCTTCTCACCTGGCCTCACTTCCCCCTTTTCTTGGAGGTGAAAAGCTGCCTCTGCTGCAGAGCAGAGCCCTAACTGTCAGGACTTCCTCACCTACTCTCAGCCCGAGTGCTAGCAAACCAATCACAAAGCCCTGAGGAGGCTGCAGGTTGCAAGACTTCTGGATTGTGTGACAGTTTCATGTTGCAATAGAGAACGTACCTGGTACCTTCTTGATGGTAGACAGTCACGGTTACCAGGAAAGGTCAGCTAGTCAGTCAGCTAGATTCTCTGTCCCTGATAACAGAAGCTGATTCCGAGGCCAGACCTGAAGAGCATACGGGCTTCCCTCCTCCTCCACAAGCCCCAGCTAGTGGCTGGGACTCAGGCTGAGTCAGGAAGGAGGGAAGGTCCATCTTCCCAGTTCTCACCATCCTGGGATCCTGTGCTAATTATAAGGACCCAGAAACCTCATGGCCCTACAGATGAACCCATGTACCTCCCACACACCTCCAAGCCAGCTCTGCTTGTTTATACCATGCCTGGGTCCTCCCAGACAGTTCCTTGACAAGCGCCAACAGCTTTCACTTGTCAGGCAACAGAAGTATCAATGACCTGGCCAGAATCAACTGTTGAAGTAGGGGGCATAAAAGGATATATACAATAAAGCCACTTGCCCAAGTTCTCCTTTGACTTCCATATGCATGAGGTAGAACAAGTCCCCTTTTAAATACTTTTTTTTTTCTTAAACAGGATGTAGATCAGTTGGCAAAGTGTTTCTAGCAAGGGAGAAGTCCTGGGTTTGATATCAAGTATCACATAAACCAGACATGAATGGCACCTGCCTGAAATCTCAGAAACAGGTAGGCAGAAGTAGGAGCATCAAGAATTAAAGGTCATCTTTAGCTACAAGAGACTCTGTCTCAAAACAAAACAAACAAACAAAAATAGGGTGAGGAGGCTCAGGAGGTGAAAAGAACATGCCACACAAATCTGCTGACCTGAGTTTAATCCCAAGATCCTATGAAGGAAAGAACTGACTCTAGCCTCACACATGAGTATTGGCACCCCCACCCACCAGCCAGCACCAGAGCGAGGACATTAGGACTCCAGCTTCAACGCCTAGAATGAACTCAAACCCCTAGATTCATCCCCTGTGTACTATTGACAAGGCCCTGCCAGTCCACACTGTGTGAGACTGGCAACCTCACGTCTGACTCATGAGCCCCATGAAGTTCACTGCGCTTGCTACCACTGAAAAGACCAGAGTTGGCACAGGACACCCCAAGACCAAGTTCTTTGCACAGAGGAGATATATTTGCCCCAGAGGAGACAGAGGAGAGGAAGAAGGGGAAGGGAACAAAGGAGAAAGGGAGGGGACATTTGTCCTGGGGACAAAGGATGACTGCCTCTTGTTAGAGAGGAGACAGATGTGGCCCTAGGCAAAGGACAGTTTATAAATGAAAAGGGGAAACCCTATATTAGGATAAGTTGGTTAATTTTGACTGGACAGGTTAATTAGGGCCAAAAGTGGGTTTTTGATTGCTGGACTTTAATACTGTGATAGCTGGACTCTGGTGGTCAGCCTCAGGATGAGGAAGTGGCCATATAAGGGAATAGACCTTGGTGGCTAGCTTTAGAATGTAATCTAACAGTTTAGCAAGGAGAGGGAATGGGGGAGGGTAAGACCTGCCAGTGCCATGTTTGCTATGCTCAGCCGGCTACAGCCCTTCAATCACTCAGCCTGCAGACCTGCAGACCTTTTTCTTTTCTTTCCTTTTTTTTTTTTTTTTTTTTTTTTGGTTTCTCGAGAAGGGTTTCTCTGTGTAACAGTCCTGGCTGTCCTGGAACTCGCTTTGTAGACCAGGCTGGCCTTGAACTCGCTGAGGTTGTCCTGCCTCTGCCTCCCAAGTGCTAGGATTAAAGGTGTGCACCACCACTGCCCGGCCAGCCTGCAGACTTTTAAATAGGCACTGGACTTGTCAAAAAGTCAAGTCTGCTTTTCCTAAGAAAAATCTGGCGGGGCAGTGGTGGTATACGCCTTTAAAGGCCAGCCTGGTCTATAAGAGCTAGTTCTGGGACAGGCACCAAAGTTTAAAAAAAAAACAAAACAAAAAAACTCAACCCAGCCAACTCCAAACCCATGTGCCTGAGTCTTGTCATCTGGCGAGGCAGGCAGGAACTAAGGTGAACTTGCTGCTCTCAGGGAGCTGGGGGCAGGTGAGGAGACAGCAAGTGTATAATCATCACACGGCAACAACACCACAGGGGACTGAGATGGTGGGAACCAGAAAGGATGAAGCCTGCACCCACCTGGAGCCCAAGTGGGCATGGCAAGGATCATTAGGGTTATAGGAAAGAACAGTATGATAAGGTTGAATCCTATATCCAGGCAGAGGGAACAGGGCAACTTCCAACGGTGTAGTGGGAAAGTCCTGCTGACAGAATACAGAAGTCAGCTGAAGAGGGAAGACAGACAGGTGGCAACAATGTAAACAATCATCCAGGAAGGACAAAGGTCGCTGGTGGAAGCCACTTAAGCAGCAAGCTCAATGTGGTTAGGAGAGCCATTCAGGGATAGCAGAGTGGGGCCTCTGATGGTCTGGATGGATGCTGCAGTGCCAAGGATCGCTGGCACATCTGCTCACACCTCCGCGAGAGGACACATCAGGCTCTGCAGACTCTTCATAAACTGGGATCCGGTTATCCTATCCCAACAGCCTGGTTCAGGACAACTAAGGTAGCCGGTTGTTAACTCACAACTCACAGCAGATAAAGGCTACATCAGCCTGTTTACTGCTGTTTCCTGGCTGCATCACACTTTCAGAATTCTCAGATTCTCAAAGGACCATGGCTTGGGTCTTTCTATAGCAAGAGAGTCACAACCATGGACCATTCTTAGATCAAATAAAAAGAAAACCACCAACTTGTGGCACTGCAAAGGCCTCAGATATTATCTAGCTCAGGAGGAACTAGACCCAGCAGCTAGGAGAATGTGTAATAAACAGCATCTACCAAATTAGAAGGTTTCAGGCAAGAGCTGGGAACTGGCATGTTCAATGGCCCGCCTACTCTCAGGACCTAACTCTAGCACAGAGATCAGCTAAGAAGCTAAGTCAGAGTACATCCCTCTTCAAGACGCTGAAGCAGGAGGAAGTGGCCAACTGTCTAAGGGCTACTGTGGTCACCACAGTGGGTTCTGGACACAGAGCAGGTAGGACAAGAAGAGAGAGAGAAACCACAGGAGTGATGTAATGTCTCCTCCAGGGCTACAGTAGACTTAGATAAAGTACACAGCAATGGAAGTGCAGAAAGCAGGCTGGACCTTAGTTTCATTCCGTCTGCCTTATCATGTCACTGGGAGCAGGGCGGAAAAGAAGGGCCATTATCTACTACAGAAGCCTAAAGGGCCCCACACTCACTTTCCCAGCAAATCTTGAAGCAAGAAAGTGACTCTGGCCCTGCTGATCTACAAACCACACAACACTGGGAACTGTGAATGATGTCCTGCAGAGAGGGAGGGCACAGACACCTCTCTGGTGACAACAAAATGGACTCAAGATTGATTCTGAGAGTTGGAAATAGTGGCCAAGTATCTGTAATCCCAGCACTTGGAAGGTGGAGGCAAGAGGCTCAGGTGGTCAAGGGGTCAAGATTGTCCTTAGTGGTGGAGGTTAACCTGGGCTATCAAAAGTACTGGGATTACAGACTTGCATGACTAAGTTCTCTTTTTAAACACTTACAGGAGCTGGAGAGGTGACACGGAGATTAAGAGTACACACTACTTCCAGAGATCCTGAACTTCTTTCTCAGCACCCAGATCAGGTGGTTCATAGCCTATCATTCTAGCTCTGGGGGCCTTGATGGCTTTTTTTGGTTTTGGAGGACAACTACACTCATGTGCACATAGCCCCCCCCCCACACACACACAAACACACATGGAAATGCACATAACTAAAAAAATAAAAACTGAAGCAAAGGCAGGCCTATCACTGTGACTTCAAGACCAGCCTGGTGTACCAGTGAGTTCCAGGCTATCCAAAGCTACATAGTGACACCCTGCCCCCTTAAAGTTAAGGTCTCACTTTGTAGCCCTAGTTAGTCTGGGATTCACTATGTAGACCAGGCTAGTCTTGAATTCACAAAGATCTGCCTGCTTCTGTCTTCTGAGTGCTGGGATTAAAGGTGTGTGCCACCAAAGCCAGTAAAAATAAATCTTTAAACAAAAATACACAATCCTTGATTTTCCTTTAAAACCAGTCAGCATTGATTTCTGTTGCTTGGAGCGAAGTGCTTTGTTTACACATGGCACTGACGGCAATGACCTCACACCTAATGATGTGTGAGGGTGAAAAGCTACCTTGTTTTCCACAGGGCAAGATTCTGTGTCCAGAGCCGACTTACAAATGGAGATGCTGTGCTGGGAGTTCACAGTGCGGTGTTCTGTGGCTACCACAGAGGCTGGTTGTCCACATGAGCAAGTCAACACCCTTACCAACCTGCAGGCTGTCACTCCCTTCCCTCCGTTCTAGCACGAAACCGTGTTCAGAACAAGCCCCAACACCAGGTATCCGAGTTTCTGAGCTTATCTGGAGATCGGGATATTTGGGTACTGGGGGCAGCAGAGGGCAGAGCACACAGCTACCTATATACTCTTCACCAAAGAATAGTTAGTCTACCTCTGTTGGGAATGCTGTGCTCCAGGAGGAAGGGGATATTCAAGTAGCTAGCCAAGTCAACCCAATCAACCCAGTGATCAGCAGGATGACAAACACTGCAGAACACTCTCGGAACCCAGAATTCGAAAAGCAAAATTCATGTCAATTTCCAGGCAAGTCAGAGGTTGTGGAGCAACAAAGTGTGCTGAGAATCCTAGGAGACTACAAGCTATTTTAACCCCGAGTCTGGTCAGCTGCTTCTCAGTGTCACAGTCTGAGACAGGAAGACAGCTGTCTCCTCTTTGGTGTGATCTACAAGTGATAAAATCCTAATTAAAGCCATTTGAACCACAAGTCAGAACTGGCACATTTATTTGTGGGAAGTACTACTTAAACGAGGACCTATAATCCTCACCTACACTCAGGCTTCCTTGGGAAACACAGCTTTAATTCATGTGCTCAGTGGAAAGGTTGAGAAAGATCACAAGTGGACGGCTCTGACAACTGTCTACTGTGGGACCCCTTGGCCGGAGTTTTTGGTTCGGAGTTGCAATTTCTTGACCTGTGAAGTGACAACCAACTCTGAGGGAAGGAAACATGAGGGAACGCCTATGATGTGACCACTCTGTGGCTGGCACAGAACAAGTTACCTAATCAATAGGCATCAACTCCTAGGGATAGAGAGAGCAGAGGCTGACACTCTTGCCTATGTCTTCAAAGTGGCACCCTCCTATACTTGTCCCAAGGTCACCTAGCCTCTCCATTTAAGGTCAGGCTTGTTGGCACACATTTGTAAGCTCAGCAGGCAGGAGGATGAGTTCAAGGTCAACCTGCACATCATCCAGTCTCCTCCCACTTCCCAAAAAAGGTCAGTGGCAAAGGTGTTTACTGCCAAACCATCACCTGTGTTTAATCCCATATAATAGGACAGAGAACCAAATCCTATAGGTTGTCCACTGACATATATGCATGCAAGTGTGAGTGTGCATGCATGCCCACACAAAAAATAAGTAAATTTATTAAATATGTATCTTTAAAAGCAAACAAACCCTAAGTACATTCCAGCATGCAGCCTCTTCCCTTCACAATGTCATACAGAGAAAGACCTGCCCTTGTCCTGAGATGACACAGATCTGCAGATTCTAACTGCATACCCAGAACTTGAGTGCAAGCCAGGGAAAGTCACAGCACACAAGGGACACAGAGGTCGGAAGGGACTTCCTAAATCTAGAGACTCCCACTCCAACTGCTCAGTTCTTGCCCCTCCTCAGCCTAAAGTCCTTCCTCCTATTCCATGTCTTCCATTCAGTCTCTCAAGTGTCTTCTAGTCCCTTGGCCAGGCAAAGCTGTGAGTTATACAGCCTGGAACAAAGACCCCAGAAGTGGACAAGATGATGAGAAAAAGTGGGGCACACGCACCCACACTGTTTCAGAAGTTTCTACTTCCATGTAGCCCTTGCATGTAAGTGTCACCCTCCTTCCAGGATGCTGATGGCTTCTGTATCCCTCAGCAGTACTGGGTAGTATACGAGATGGTAACTGGTCGTGTGCAGGGTTCAGCCTGCCCCTGCTGGAGATGAGAGTGAGCCTCCTCCCCAGCCTCTACTCCCTGCACGGTGGGCAGTGGCACTCAACAGTAAACACGATGACAGCCCCACACCCCGCTGGCAGTGAGCCTTACAGGAGTGACCTCAGCAAACACTCACTTTCACTTCCTATGGAGAAAGGACCTGCCTCTATGTGAGGAATCCAGCCACTGCCCAGCCCTAAGAACACTGAGGGCTGGAGGGGGGAATCGCAAGAACAAGTACACTCTGCTCCAATCCCTAATATTTTCTCTCTAGACAGAACAGCTCTTCTGAGCCCTGGATCAAAATAGCCCCAGAGTGCAGATATTACTCCCGAAGGGGCTTTGCTGCCGAAACAACTGCTTTTCTTCTTGGAATTCTTTCAAGAGTATAAGTTGTTGTTTCCCTCCAAAGCAAGAGTACCCATATTAAAGGCAAGGCTCTGAAGGAGGAAGAAGAATCCCACATCACAGACACATCAGGCTCTGACCACCAGTTACTTAGGAGGAAGGGATGGAGCTGGAGGTATGGACGTAGTATCCATAGGGATTTGTGTATGCTGGCAATGTGTGAGGGTCTGGATGTGTAGGTGTGGGCCAGGGGTAACTGTGGGGAATGTTTGGGGTAAACAAAGTATGAGTGTGGTGAGGGGAGGTGCTGAGCCAAAGTATTTATTAGGGAGTTGGGCTATTCAATGTTTTGGGCTGAGGAGTCTGAGGAACAAGATGCACAGCGTGTAGAGAGAGGGTGTGGAGTATACATTGCTGTGTATTCTGTACACGAATTAAAAATGAGCTGGGAGCATGGGGGTGTCACAGCTGTTTGTTGTGGGAAGGTATTCTTCAGAAGTCCAAGATGCTACATGGAATGTCTTCACCTGGAAATAAACAATTAACTATACGAACTGCATTTTTGTTTTTGGGCACAAGATCTCATATGACCCAGACTGGCCTCAACTTAGCTGTGTAGCTGAGGATGGCTGCAGACTCCTGATCCTCAGCCTCAAGTTGGGACTGCAGTGGTTATAGGGAAGTTCCAGCACCTATGTTATACAGTGCTAAGGAAAGGACCCCAGGCTTTGTGCAAGTTCGGCAAGCGCACTGCCTGCTGAGCTACAGTCTGAGCCTACACTATTATTCTTAGTGTCTGTTTAGACATCAACAGCAGCCTGATCCAGATCCCTGCAGAGTGCAACAGAAAGCTAATGACCATTCGAAAAGCACCACTCTAGCTGGGCACGGTGGTACATGACTGTAATCCCAGCATTCCAGAGGCTAAAGTAAAAGGATTTCAAGTCAAGGCCAGCCTCAGCTATGTGAAACACTGTCACAAACTAAAAAAACCAAGCCAACACAAACAAGCAGACAAAAGCCACAGCTAATTTAATATTGCAGAGTCAATTTTATCCCCAAGGGAAGGAAAACAAACTAACTCCCCCAAAACTTAGATACTTACTTCACACCATACAAAAATATTAGCTACACAATGGATTCAGAGTAGGCAACCTGGATTGCACGAGATCTTATCTCAAGAAGAATAAGAAGAAAATGCCTTTTTAGCTCAGTGTGGTTGTTTAGGTCTTTAATTCCGGCATTTGGGAGGCAGAGGTAGGCCTGCCTCTGAGATTAAAGCCAGGCTGGTCTATATATTGAGTTCCAGGACTTTCATAGTAACACCCTATCTCAAAGAAAAAAAAATATGTAAAACACTAAAAATCACATAAAACAAAGATCTCAAAAAATTCCTAGAAATCAGGGCCTGGAAAATGGCTCTGATTAAGAGCACTTGCTGCTTTTCCAGAGGACCCAAGTTTGGTTCCCAGCATCCACAATAGCTCGTAACTCCCTGTGACTCTGGGGACCAACACCTCTGGCTTCTGGAGGCACCTGTACTCACATGCCCACACCTATACACATAACTACACATAGTTAAAAATAAATAAATAAATAAATAAATAGAACTCAATCTTAAAAAAGAGTTCCTAGAAATCAGCTGGAGATGGTACCCAGTGGCAGAGTGCTTAGCTGCCCAGCATGCCCAGTATGCCAGGGACCCTGGGTCCAAACCCCCAGCAACACCCAGCCCCTCATTTCTGGAATCAATAGGAAGAAACTGTCAGGTAGCCCAATAAGAAAGGAGAGGGAAAAGCCAGGTAGTAACATATGCCTATGCGTACTTGGCAGACAGAGCCAGGGATTTCTCAAGTTCAAAGCCAGCAAGTTCTACACAGTGAGTGCTAGGCCAGCCAGGGTGAAACAGCAGGCCTGTCTGGAAAAGGAGGCTGGGGAAACGACTCCCCAGGTCCTTCACATAAACATATAGAAAGACCCTTCATCATTTAATCACAAAGGTTTACCCCCCACCCCCCACAGCTATCATGAAAGAGTTCTATGACATAAAGTGTTAGAAGGAAGTCTCACATTGCTGATAGAGTCTGCCAGGACCTACCCTATATAGTCTGTGACCTAGAATTACATCCCTTAGTATAGAACCAACATACATGTGTACCTATGTTTGCCAATACACTAATGTACAAGACTGGGAATAAAGTGGGCGTGGTAATACACATCTATAATCCCAACATGTGGGAGGCCAAGACAGAAACATGCTGAGTGTGAAGCCAGCCTGGACTATAATATATAGCTATACCAAAAAAGTGGGAATACCGGCATATTCCGTAATTACTGCAACCTGGAAATTCAGAGCAGTAGGAACTGACTCCACAGGCACAGTGGCTCACACAGGAGGATCAGCTTGACTTTGAGACCAGCCTGGGCTATAAAGTGAGTTCAAGGTTAAGTCTGAACTACAAACAAGGCCCATCTCACTGCCCATGCCCCCAAATGAATAAGTGAACTAAACTCTCAATACCTAACACATAACAATGAATGAAAAGCCAGACATAAAAGGACATGAGACTACTCTTGGGAAGCCAAGAGTCAGGTTACAAGGGCATTATATGGTCCTACATCTCCTGAGGATCAGTGGCTCTCACAAGCTGGGACCCTAAGGCCTTCACAAAGTGGAAAGGATGCTCACTTCTTAGTGGGGCTCTGACCTCTCTGCTACATGCAACCTTCAGGGCCTGGACACTACTTTCCCCACATACTCTGAAAAAACTCAGAACCGAGCTCCCCTACCACCATGTCCTGCTAAAATTCATTCCCAGACTTCTCCTGACTCTGTGGCACCCAAGCACCTGCAGGCCCTCCCTTTCTGGTCCTCCTGCCTCTCTCTCCCCAAAGCCAAGTTAAGGAGTGTGCTAACACACATGATTTTATGTAGAGCTTCAGACTGGATTCAGGATGTTATTAGTGCTAGACAGGCAGTCTACCAACTGAGCTACAACCCCAGCCTCCTGCGGACTTTTCTGCCCCCAGACAAGCCAATAAGTTCTCACTCATTTGAGATGCTCCTCCCTTGGCCCACACCCACCCCTGCCTCAGAGGCACAGAGGTCGCTGAAGCCTGGAAGCAGCATGCCCTAAGTCTCTGACATTACCACCTTCCCTGCTGACAGTCTGTCCAAACCTCCCAAAGAAACCCTTGAGTGAGGGAGACCGTTTGGTCTGCAATGCAAGCCCAAGGCTGAGCACACAGCTGGTACTCCATAAACACCAGGAAGTGGCTGCTATGAGGATGGATAGCTATTGTTCCAGAAAGAGAAGCCATTTTACTTCCATAACAGAATGCCAGGGAGCTATCACAGAATCCTAGAAAAAGGCAACACTGAGGCCACCTGGGGAACAAACACGTCAGGTGCCCCGAGTGTGCACCAGGGCAGAAC